ACAAAACTTAAACCAGTTTTTTAATAATTCAATTTCAATCCAACGGTATTTATATTTTGACAATTTGTATCTTTTAATTTTTTTTAAATATATATTTATTTTTCATAAAGATCCAAATTCGTAGGTGCCTAACGACTAAATCCTACTTACAGTTGTAGATAAGCTTATCAATTTGATTACAAGTAATTTTATCTTATGTTTAGTCTAAATACTCTAAAACCACATGTGGTTTGAACTTAGATCATGTACGAGATTTTTGCTGTTCGTATAATGTAAATACACCGTTGTATTTCACCAATTGTTATAGCCGTAAAGCATAACTAAGGTTGTAAAAATTAACAAAAACAAAATATTACAATTTCAAGGTAAAAAATGAACATTTAATTGAAATATAAGATCAAATTATTGGACATTGGTACAAAACTTAAGTATACAATGTACGTAGGTTAGGTTAGCGTGGTCATTTGCATATTTGTAAAAAAACACATATAGTTAGATATCAATAGCCTTTATTATATTAACRATGAGACGTATGAGAATAATTAGGTACAAACATTTTTTCTTAACTTTAATTCTGCTATATCCTATYATTTAATTTATCTGAGTTTTTTACAAACTTTCATTTATATAGATATTTAAATAAACCTCCAAAACGATCTTTGATTTCGGTAAGTACTATTCTCCAAAAGTTTTAATTATTTTTAGTTTTGAAGTGTAGTAGACTGTAAGTTGAAGTTGAATGTTATGCAGGTATTAAACCTTTACAACATTCTAATTGAAATTTTAACTAAAAAATAATAAATTTAGGAAATTATATAACATTGCTTTAGTTAACGGCTAACTTAACTTATGTTAAGTCAATATATAGATCCTAATTCTAACACTGTACTGTCACACTAAACAAATGCAATTCAGTGATGGTCAAAATATTTTGTGATGGGGGTGGAGAGGCTGATTTTCTAATATGCATTATTTAGTTATTAAAAATATAATTTATGGCTGTCATATATTAGGTATGCAATGAAAAATATTTCATGAGTGATCTATCCCCYTCTTACATCCCGTTTGATCACCACTGATGCAATTCAATATGTAAGTTCTAATGGACGTGATCGAAATTTTAAAATCAGTTCCTATGGGTAAACACTAAATACTAAAACATCTATAAATATAGATCACAAAAACAATTTATTAAATAAATATTTATTCGATAAAATATATATTTAACAAATTGCTTAAAAATTTAAATTATAAATAATCATAAAAATATTTTTACCATACATATTTTTAATTGTCTATTTGGGAGTCCTGGGCCCGGGAGTTTGTAATTTGCACCAAATTAAAGATAAAATGTAATTTGCACCACTGCAGGTAGCCAAAAATAGTGTTTATAATTTGCACCAAAATAAGGGTATGTAATTTGCACCACCCTCAGGTAGTCGAAAATAGAATTTGTAATTTGCACCAAAATGATTATTTATTTGTTCGATTATCGAATATTMRATTTTGAAATATTCGATATTTCCTCGGTATYTTCGTAGACGTCGARACTAGATTGATACGAATGACAATAATAATTTTAATAATAATATTAATACGATTTAATAACATATAATTTTTTTAATTGGCCAACTTTTTTTATATTCATAATTATACAATTTTATATAAACTTAGAACTTACATCAATAATAGTGTATAAGCTTAGCTATTTAATAAATAAAAACTAAGCTAAATTTATATTAGGATATAAAAACTTATAAGTTAGTACTATCGAAATACTATCKAAAAAATAATCGATTTTAATTTTGGTGCAAATTACAATTCCTATTTGTTACTACCTGAGGATGGTGAAAATTACATATTTTTATTTTGGTGCAAATGCATTTTAAAAAAATGGTGCAAATTAAACMTGTTGTAAACATTTTTGGTCAATTTTGGTGAAARTTGACTACAGCCYTCGGCCCTAGGGGATTGGAGTGCYCTATCATTACACCACTGCCAAAAGTTGTTTGTTGATAAGTTAATAAGTACCTGAGTCAGGATATTTTGTTTTAACTTATTTTTACCAAACTCAAACTATCTAATTATTCAAGCATTTTGTATATTTATTTATTCTATTTGAATATATTATTTATTTTTTCGTTTTTACAATAATAATAGCGGGTATATTGTTGATTTTTTTTTAAATTTAATATTATATTGGTATAATACTCGTATATGAGTACTTATATACGTTTTTGTATCTTACGGGTCAATGTTATACTATTGTTGAAATTACGAATTTACTCACTCTGCACAATCGACTATGTATATTTATTTATTTTTATCAAAATACACAAACAGATCGTTTTGATTATTTAACGAGCATGTCTTGATCAACCAACTGCCATATTTAATATTTATACCCTGGCATATATTTTGTATTTTTTTATTTTAATGCGTGCATACATAAATTAGGTTATATGTACCTAATTGAAAATACTTGACAATGTATATTATAATACTTATAATTGGGTATTAGCGTTTRTTTAAATATTTTAACGAATCCACGAAGTCACTCTGAATTTTTATTTTTATTTTTTTTGGAGAGGGGGATCAGGAGCTATTTGAAAAACAGATATGATATAACTAGTTATCATACTAAACTAAATCCTAACTAAGATAAAATATTTATTTCGCGTGTGTAATTGATATTGCTCACGTAGTCACGTATACAATATTATATTTTTATGGTGATAAATTTTTGTGTGTAATGTCAATATTAATACTGTATACGTACAATGTAATGCCGTCCGGGTTGCTGGACGTTGTCACCGCGACTATTATGGAATTATCATTTATCGCGAACATAATATTAGTATTACATTTTCGACTATAAATTAATTACGTCGTAATTATCTCTACAACGATTGTGTGACTGTCGGGCATGTTTTCGCGTCCTGCAATCTGTATCTGTATAATATAGGTAGCGTTTATTATTTAGTGTTCGATTGTTACAAAATGCGTATGAAAGCACGCAATCAACCACGCATGTATAAGCGTATTGCTATAGGAATCAACTCGATTATCAAGTTTCGTCCAGCAACAAAGTTTTAATGATTTAGTCCGTATTATTTCCGTATCAGCTGTTGTTACTTATCGCGGAGCAAGGGGGAACACGAAATACCCAATGAACAATACATTTATTATGCAACAGCTTGTCTTGCWACACCTTTTATTAATTTAAAAATACATCGGAAGAAATTAAATCTTCAACCCCGGGGATTTTGTGGGACTTTCTGTGGGCTGTCAATTAAATCCGGCAGAATGGGTCAGTGGATATAAAACAAAAAAAAATCGTTTTTTAGAAGTAAATACGAAATTTTGGGTGTATGGTGTAATTTTAGGYCTCATAAAATGTTCTATTCTTATAACAATGAATGTTAAATGTAATATAAATGTTACTGAGTAACTTAATTGTCATATTAGAATAAAATATTTACTTTTTAGTGTCAGTCAAATAATAATTAATCAATAAAATTTAATAATGTATGGCAAGTTATTTTAATTTATATGGATAAATGTATTTTGTCATAAACGATAACATTTGAGGTATAGTTTTACGTTAGTATATTTTTAAAATCACCTACTTATGATGACGAAATTCAAAAACTTAAAATTAATCCGCCTCTAAACCTTAACCGTATAGTATGTAAGATTGTAGATACCTACATTTCAATATTTTTTCTATGCAGATGCCTCTAGGTAATATGTATTTGAGACATTCGAAATATATAAATTGATTTATATCTACGGTGCATCAATAAAACGAATTAAAACATTTGGCTTTAATAACTGATATAATTATAAGCAGTGTATAGTGATGATATACCTATGTGTTTTATAAATTCATGCGTATCGCATATGNCTCATAAAATGTTCTATTCTTATAACAATGAATGTTAAATGTAATATAAATGTTACTGAGTAACTTAATTGTCATATTAGAATAAAATATTTACTTTTTAGTGTCAGTCAAATAATAATTAATCAATAAAATTTAATAATGTATGGCAAGTTATTTTAATTTATATGGATAAATGTATTTTGTCATAAACGATAACATTTGAGGTATAGTTTTACGTTAGTATATTTTTAAAATCACCTACTTATGATGACGAAATTCAAAAACTTAAAATTAATCCGCCTCTAAACCTTAACCGTATTATGTAAGATTGTAGATACCTACATTTCAATATTTTTTCTATGCAGATGCCTCTAGGTAATATGTATTTGAGACATTCGAAATATATAAATTGATTTATATCTACGGTGCATCAATAAAACGAATTAAAACATTTGGCTTTAATAACTGATATAATTATAAGCAGTGTATAGTGATGATATACCTATGTGTTTTATAAATTCATGCGTATCGCATATGTCATTGCACATAAGTAGGTAGGTAACAATAATGTTAAAAAAAACTCAATGTTAAAAAGTTAAAAAAAATTGTGAAAAYTGTAATAAAACCAATGAAAAATGAAAAGAGATAGAAGCCAAACATTTATGATGCATTCTGTTTTTTGAAAATTTTAATTAAGAAAAAAATGTATACCATATAATTTTAGTAGGTGCCTACTATACCCACCAAATGTATTCATTTAATCATAAACGATTTAATACGGCAAATAAAAAGACAGGTTCTTAAAATATGTTTTGAAAACCACCTAATATGTACTATAAATACTATCTAAGAAATGAAAATTACAAACAATTAATTATAGAATTTTTTTTCCTTTTTTAAGAATTGTTGTAGGGATATAAAATATATTTGCCTATAATGGCAATACTGTAYAGCTTAGCGTATTATATATTTAGAGAGTAGGTATACAATTGAWAAAATGGAGGAGTGAGTATTCGCCGTTTACACSTCCTTACACCCAACCCATATGTTATTGAATGTATCTATATGTATGTTAGTCGAATTTATATTTACAAATAATATTCAGTGTTATTTTTTTCGTATAGAATTGTGTCACGCGACGACAATCGATTGGGGCCAAATCGCTAACGGAGTGAGCAACGACATTAACGTGATCAGCAACGACGAACCAGCGAAGTGCAAAGGATGCTCTAATATCGGCTGCCCCGGAGACTTGTGCTGGTCCCACGAAGTTGGTCGGTGCCAGTACGGTCGGTTGAACGGTTGCCATCCACTCTGCGCTGGCGGTTGTGACGAACCGCACTCGGCCAGGCATTGTTTTGCGTGCACTGCGTACATGCACAAGGGCGAATGCATCCGAGAATGTCCATACGGCCTGTAAGTATCAGGATTTTCAAGGAGAAGAAATTGGAGTGTATCGATACGTACCGCTTTAATTTTGAGTGTTCAAGAAGTTACACGTACCGGCCTGTATCGGCCTTATTAGATTTCGATACGAGTCCGTACGCGTAACTATTCTCAGTCGATACGTATCGAATTCTTTTTCTTGAAAATCTTGCAAATATGATATTTTGGTGTCGGGAAAATCGGTATAATACTTGATCGGATTTGTTTTTCTTGTTATAGGTACGGTCACATCAGGTCGTGCTTGACCGCAGAAGAGTGCCACAKYTTGCCGGTGACCAGAGAGGAATCGACACCGGACGATCTGAACACCCACTACATCCCGTTCGAACGCGTGTGTCGCGACGAGTGTCCGTACGGGTTCCAGGTGACGGCCGACAAAAGAAACTGTACGCTGTGCACGAAAACGAGATACGGCCACTGTCAGCGGAACTGTAACAGTTTCAAAATCAGTGACGACATGTTGAGGAAGAATTACGAATACCGTTTGCACACCAACTGTACAACTATCAAATCTYTGGAGATCGAAGTCAAGTACGGTACCAGCGAGGACGTGGAACGTCGGCTAGAAGAATACATCGGAAAAGTGGAAGTCATTTTGGATCAGTTGAAAATCATACGGTCGTATTCGCTTACCTCTTTGAATTTCTTGCGGAGCCTGTACGAAATACGCGGCGAAAACACTGTCAACAAAATGGCCTTGGTGATACGCGGCAATAAAAATTTACAAAAACTTTGGACTACCAGTGAAAACGAGACCCGTCCCGTTAAAATATTGAACGGCACAGTGTCTTTTCACTACAATCCTAAGTTATGTATGTCGGAAATATATAAATTTGGAAACTTGTCTACACTACCTGCGTTCTCGGACATAGAAGTGTCKGTTATATCTAACGGTGATCAGTTTGCATGCACTGTTTATAATTTACAAGTGGAAACCGTTAAAATTGATCCACAGTCTATTGTGTTACAAATGCACAAACCTGTGGAAGCCGATAATTTGGAAAGGTTTCTTGTGTATTTTATTGAAGCGTCTAAATGGAATGAAACTATCGAATCAACCGATTGCGAAGACTCTAGTTGGAAAATTGATGATATAAGTTCAAAAAAAGCTTTAAATGAAACTGAAATCTTCCATGTCATTACAAATTTAGAACCAAACACAGAGTACATTTATTATGTAAAGACTTACACGATTTCTTCCAAGACAAGTATGAGTAGTATATTTCGTAATAAGACTCTTCCATCAAAGCCGTCCTCTCCCCAATACTTTAATGCTCAACCAGTGTCTAGTTCTGAAGTAGAACTGACATGGAAACCTCCTTCACATCCTCATGGAAAATTAGTCAAATACATTATCAAGGGAATTCATTTAACCGATGACCAAGCCATGTTGGATGAACGTAGTTACTGTAGAAACAAAACRTTCAATGGGAACGGCATAATATACAAATCTTCCTCATTAATTATTAAACCATCATCTGATGACACATGTGAAAAGCAGTGCGAACCACAAAAAAATATTGTTAATAATGTATGCAACACTTTTGAACACGGTATAGATATGGATTTAATTTCATTGAATAATCACAGGTATACATTTGAATCGTGCAGCAGTAACATTATTAATATCTTTATTAATTCAAAATGTTTGGCAATGCAAAACAACGATGACTCTATTTTTCCAAGTAGTGTAAATACTTTTATAAATGAAAACTGTACAGAGATGTGGTCAGTCAGTAATATGGTGAACAATGTTACTCATAGAGATGGTAGCTCATCTTATTTCCAAATTGAGTTAAATGAAAATATTACATCATTTAATCTTAGTAACCTCAGACATTACAGTCAATATTTGCTGTCCATATTGGTTTGTAGAGAGGTTGTCAAACAAGAATTAAACCAAAGYACTATCAATTCTTGTAGTCAAGAAACATTAATATCCTTCCGCACTTTGGAAAATAAACAAGCAGACGTTATTGATAGCAACACTGTACAGGATGAAATTGTGAATAATCACACAGTTATTATATTTTGGGAGTCACCAAAGCTTATAAATAGCATAATACATAGTTTCCAGTTGCACTATAAACGCTTGGAAGCGCCTAATTTTGTTTCTGTGTGTGTTACTATGAAGGAATATGAAAAAGCTGACCGATCATATGTCTTCAAGAACATACAGCCTGGTGTTTATCAATACAGAATCCAAGCCGTTTCATTGTACGGGCCCGGGCCATACACTACTGTGAAAGAGTTTAATCTTCCCTATCCAGACGCATTTAATAGTTGGCACCTTATTATCATAATTTTTATTTGTGGTTTTATATTAATTATATTTACAAGTGTTATTCTTCGTACTCACTTTAGTCGTAAGATTTTAGAACGTAATGCCATGTTTAATCTAGCCAATAATCCTGGCTATGTTGGCATATATGTTGAGGACGAATGGGAGGTACCCCGAGAGGATGTGGTCATACTTAAAATACTTGGTAGAGGAACATTTGGCACAGTTCATGAAGGTCTGCTGATGCCTCAATCTATACCATGTGCTGTAAAATCTGTAAGCAAGACAAATTTTATGAGATATCATACAGAGTTCTTGAATGAAGCAGCCATAATGAAGAAATTTAGTGAAGCATACCATATAGTGAAATTGCTTGGTGTAGTGACAAAGACCCACCCACCACTACTCATAATGGAACTCATGGGCCGTGGCGATTTAAAAAGTGTATTGGTCAAGTGCAAGAATTCTGATGATCCACCTCCACCCAATAGGTACAACTTAAATGATAATTTTTTTTAGACATATTTAACTAACACATTTTTATGAATATTTGTTTATATTTCAGATACACCATTATTCGTATGGCTGCACAAATAGCTGATGGTATGGCGTTCCTAGAATATAACAAATTTATTCATCGTGATTTAGCTGCCCGAAACTGTATGGTGGCTAATGATTTGACAGTGAAAATTGGCGATTTTGGTATGAGTCGACAAATATATAATGGTGATTATTATCGCAAAGGAAATAAAGGTGAAATGCCTATACGATGGATGGCTCCTGAGAGCCTCAGTGAAGGCATTTTTACCAGTCAGTCAGATGTCTGGAGTTATGGGGTCGTGATTTGGGAAATGATAACATTGGGTGCACAACCCTACCCAGAAAAGAACAACAATGAGGTCATGGCACATGTGCTGGATGGAAACTTACTAGACTTACCGGACTCTTGTCCTGATGTGTTAGCTGGTATAGTTAGACTGTGTTGGAATTGGAGTGCTTCCCAACGACCAAGGTTCCTAAAAATAGTCGAAGCACTTGATGTTTATCTGGAGAATGATTTCAGGTTAATTTATTAATAACTATTAACAATAATTAACTATCTTGTAACTTGCTACAATACTCTTGCTTCCTGTTTATAGATCAGTTTCGTTTTATCACACTCACGGTTTACACAATGAGTCGCCTGCTGATCAATCGTTGATGTCACCGTGTACTACGTATGAAGAAGATGATAACGAAAACATTAGTTTTGAAGGCGGTGACACCGTTGCTGTATATAGTGCGTTCCATGTAGGCAAAAGCAAAATGAGTAATGGAAATTTATCTCCAATGTAATATTTAGGGTCAAAATTATTTAAGTGAAATTCAACGTTACCAGTAAAGTCTATTTAAAAAAATAAGTGTTTTTTTTTTTTGTTTTCTTTATGAATATTGTATAAATGGTCCAAGAGTGTTATCTGGGCAACCGTTTTTGTAGACTATTAATATTTCGTTGTTAAATTTTTTTTATATATAATTTAATATTTTGATGTTCTAATTTTATTAAGAATTAAAATAACATAATTTTTTTTCGTACCACCTTTACATGTATCAACATATTATTCTAGTTTCTAGTCAGCGCGTGGAAATCTTGTCTCTCCAACGTCTGTTTTTTCATTTTATTATTATTTTATTTTATAATAGATTTTTACATGTCATTACAAAATTAATAAAAATAAAATATATATTGCCATATAAATACTTTTTTGGAACTATCTGGTTGCTGTTTAAAATTTTTTTTTAATKGATCAAACTAATTTTCCAAAAAAGTATTTGAATTTTACACAAACATATATTTTTTGAAAATATTTTTAAGTATAAAAGTCTCAACTAAAGAAAATGCAAATATAAGACTAATATTGTCACTCAATTTTTAGAAAAATTCAKTTGTATTAATTGTGTAATAGTAATATTGTTAATGATAAATATTTTTTTAAATTGTGTTGTAGGTACATTTTTATAACAGTTTGATATGTGTCATCTAGTAAAATTATCCTTTTCCATGTGTTCACTAAGGTGTTCTTTTAACTTAAAAACTTAACAGAATTGGATCTCTCATTGCCAAAAAATGTTAATTTATTATTATAAAATTTTTTTTCTTCAGACAATTAAATTAAATTATTTAAATTATTTGAAAATTAATGCACATTGCATATATTATCTAATATTTTAGTAAGATAACATTTCGACCAATAAATTGGATTTATAGTTTTATTGATCACTGTTTAAACCGTTTTAATTTTAAGAGATGATGAATATTTATTATACTATACAATTTTTATCTAAATAAATCCGAAGAATAAATATTTTTTTTTTAGCCAAATGTATTATTTGATATGGTAATGTATGAATAAAGTATGTTTAATGTAAGCAATTTTAAATTGAAAAAAAATATATTTTTTTTTAATATGAACTTATATTGTGATATTTCATAAATATTTCAATGTTGCAATTTTTATTTATAGTAATTCAGAACTAATAAAATACATCATGACCTTGAGAATAGTTTTTTTTACCATAGTGATATAGCTACTTTATAACTTTTTATGTCTACGTCTACCTCTAGTTGGGTGCACAAAAGGAAGAGGCTAAAGTGCTTTAGCTCCCCGCCCCCCCAAATGCTGGCTCCAAACCTAACGTCTTAGATTACATTTTTATCGATACTATTTAGTTTATTGTAGACTGCARGTATCTGCGCTAACGAATTCTACTTTCATTTTATTATTTATTTAATATATTAACTAGTATTGTCGTATAACTGTTCAAGTCRGCATTGTTGGTTTTTCGCGAGCTTATTTATTTATTTATTGTTGATTGTTTATTGTTTTTTGTTGATTCAAATAAGTGGGTTTAAATAGAATGAAAMGTATTCATTCTGGATCATTATTAAATTATTTTAAAGTTGGGTCACACACCACACCTGCAGAAGTTCAAAAACAAACAGTCACTAGAGACAATTGATCTGCAATAAATAATATTGCTTCAGCTTCATCAAATTAATGTAAKGTTCAACTAAATGACGGTAATACATAGTACCTACCAAAATATGATATATCTTTATGTACAAACAAAAAAAATAAGTGATCATGAAATAATAAATATTATTAAAAATATGAGGGTTGCCTATGATAGTTACACTTTTAAATCTCAACAAATAGGTTCTCAAAACAAAAAATTAAATCGATTTTGGTTAAAAAATATAAATGGTCGGTGTATTCGAAATTGAAAAATAGTGTCTATTGTAAGACGTGTGTTTTTTTTTTTACTATAGTGTGCAGAGAAACTATTAATTTATACTTTACCAATCAGTAAAATTCTTTAATCAGTTAATTTGGATATTTCAGAGGCTTTGATTAAAAGTTTTAATTAAATTAAATTAAATTAAAACGTAGACGGTGTAGTGTTTGTTCTTCGCGAGATACAAACTAATGTTGAAAATGAATTTATAAAATTATTTTCAACAAAACAAACCAAGTTGCTAATGATTTAGATTACTATACCCAGATTAACAAAAAATTAAACCAAACGATGTGCAATGTACCAGCAGAAAATAAAGAAGAATATTATAGACGTGCCATTTTCATTCCCTGGCTAGATTCATTTATAACATGTGTTTCTTCCAGATCACTCTTCGACTTCAGTTACTTAAAGTTATACTATTGTAAATATATAAATATCAGAATATTATTGTAATCTTAAAATTACCAATTGTTAATTATCCTTAGTACTTTAAAAATATTTTATTATTTTAATTATCATGTTATAATGTTAAAACTATTATGTAAACTGTAAAATATCCATAGATTTAGATAGCCTTTGGCTAGGAATGTCTTATGTTTAAAATAAAAAAAAAAAGATTAATTTATAAACAACATATCTGAGTGATTTTTAAAGCACAAATTTAATGTGTTATTAAAAGTTTCAAGTGCCTTCTGCCAACTGTAATTCTCCTAATCAAAATAGAAAAATCACAGTATTTTTATAATTTTATAAAAATTATATACCACAAAATGGTGTTAATGCTGCAACATACTATAAAAAGCATGGTAAAAACAACAATTAATTTAGTTATTTTTAACAATGTTAAAATCATTTACAACTATAATTTKTATAATAAGGATAACTATTCATTTAGTTTGATTAACAGCATTATATAACTTAATACAATAGTTTAATCAACTAAAGTTTTAGTTAATAAATTGTAGTAAATTTTAYAGTTGAAATATCAATAATTATCTTACTAAAAAAAATAAGTTATTTTAACTATATTTATAACTGTCACATATTTTTTTCCGTGGTGCAGTAGCCGAAGAATTTGATTTATGGTATCAAAAATTCCAATGCCCAAATCATTCATTACCACATAATGCAATTGATGCATTTAACTTATGTAATACTACTCTATTTGAAACTATATTTATACTTTTACAAATRTTCTCAACATTGCCTGTACCGACAGTCGATAATCGACTAGTAAAACAGAAAGATAATTTTCCGCTTTAAGAAGAATAAAAACACACTTGAGAAATACAATGAGTCGAAATCGWCTGAATGGATTAGCTATGCTACATAGGTATTCACAAAAAAATCGATGTTCAAATTTCAGAAGTGCTGTCAGTATTAGAAAAATAAGAGCAAGGCGATTAAACTTTATAATTAGGTGTTCATAATTTAACAGATTTATTTCTCTACATATTTTAAAATAATTACTATTAATATTTAAAAAGGCGGGTAAGTCGTGGATGTCGCTCTGCTGTAGGTACAGTATAAGTTACAAGTTGGTTACTGTAACGGATGGAATTAAATTTGAATCCAATGATATTATATCATTGTATATGAAAAACGATTCTGAGCGAAGACGGTTTATCTGTCTAGAATAT